CTTAAACAAGGCAAGTATATGAGAAGTTGTGTCCAGTTTGCTCAGAAATGCTAACCAGAGTGCCTCAGTCAATGGCAGAGTGAACTTAGCATTTCTGTAGCAAAGTAGTTCCTGGAGCAAGGGAGTATTAGCTTTTTGCTCAGTTAGCAAAGGCTTTACAGTGCTATCAATGTTCTATGGAGTACGGTCCCTGTGTAACAACTGGCACACGGACTTGGGTTCTGTACCATAGGACCCTTACAAAGAAGTGAAGGCGTTCTGGGACGCCTGAGTGGCTCAGTCGGTTAAGCATCTGCCTTTGGCTCAGGTCATGGTCCCAGGGTCCTGGGATCGAGTCCCACATCAGGCTCCTTGCTCAACGGGGAGCCTGCTTCTCCTTCTGCCTGCCGTTCCTCCTGCTTGTGCTCTCTATCTCTCTGACAAATAAATAAAATCTTAAAAAAAAGAAAAAAGAAAAAAGAAATGAAGCTCTAAGCAAGGACCCTGACACCAGCATCATTTCAAACAGGGCCATTAACAAAGTGATAAATCAGAGGCACCTGGTTGGCTCAGTCAGCAGAGTGTGCAACTCAGTCTCGGGTTTGTGAGTTTGAGTTCCATATTGGGCATAGAGATTACTTAAAAAAAAAAAAAAAGTGCTAAGTCAGTACTTCCTGTGACGGACAGATGATCTGGGTTCTAAAATCCTTTAGTTAATGAACTTTCCCTTCCTCCAGTACTTCCTCTTGGGAACCCTGGCGAGATGGGGGAACGGGACTTGCTGCCCAGCACAGATCACAAAATCTTAAAAGCTACCACTGCTCCAGATCTCCGCAGTCCTATCTAAGCTGCAGCCTGATCGAGGCCCAGTCCTACAACCGAAAATTTTAACTTTAGTAACTAAACATGTTATCAAATAAAACACCATTATTATATGATTCATTGAAGGGCTCCTTTTAGATATTAAGTTTCTCTAGTAGTTTAAAGACTTTAATAAATTTAATGAGTTACAATTATTCAAATGTATCTATTGTTTAGGGTAGAATATAAATATGTTTCTTCATTGTAAAATGAAGTAAATAATGCAATCCACCACATAGGATTGTGAGGATCAAATGGGTTAATATATGTAAAGTACTTAGAACAATGCTTGATACATTGTTCCCCTTCAGTGAGTATTGGCTATTTAGTATTCATACATCAAATACTTGTTCAGCTTCTACTACAAGTCAGGCACTGTTCTAGGGCCTGTAGAAACAGCAGTGACAAAGAGACAAGAAAGATTCCCTGCTCTCATGGAGCTTCCATTCTAGCTTGGGGAGCAAAAAAAAAAAAAAGTATATGTCAGATACATAAGACAGGGTAAAGAAAACTAGAAAGCATAGTGCAGGGGAACTTGCCATTTTTCATAGTGAGGGTGGTCAGGGAAGTCCTCTCTGATAAGGTAACATGTGACCAGAGATCTGAAGGAAGTGAGGAAATAAGCTTTGCAGTTATCTGGGGGAAGAGTGTCCTAAGAGATAACTGAATCCAAAAAAAAAAAAAAAAAAAAAAGACTATCAAATAAGAGGGTCTAAGTCTATAATAGGGAGTGACAGGGTCACATGGTGTAGAAACCATGCCGCACCAGAGACAGGCCTCAGTTCCAGACAAGGGCTGCTATGAGGAAATGTGGACCCAGTGTTGTCAGATCTTCTAGGTTTTTTGTTTTTTAAGAAAAACTGTATCTTGAATTTTTCATGTGAACTGTCGTAATGTTTGAAAGGCATAAATGCATTTATATGTTCATCAAAAGTCATGGACAAGAATGTTCAGAGGCACTATTTATAATAGCCCCAAACTGGAAACCCCCCAAGCAACCATCATTAGAATGGATCAGCTATGGCACAGTTACAGTTTCTGCACAGCAGTGAGAAAGAACCAGCTACAACTTCACACAACATCCTGGGTGAATATCACAACATAACATTGAATGAGAAAATGTTCGGGGCACCTGGGTGGCTCAGTTAAGTGTCTGACTCTTGATTTTTCACTCGGGTCATGATCTCAGGGTCGTGAGGTCGAGCCCCCTGTCAGCCCAGCATGGAGCCTGCTTGAGATTCTTTTTCCTTTCCCTCTCCCTATGCCCCTCCCCGCCCCCACGTGTGTGTGTGTGTGTGTGTGTGTGTGAGAGAGAGAGAGAGAGAGAGAGAGAGAGAGAACATGCTATCTCTAGCTCTCTGAAAGAAAATAAGAAAGGATGAAAGGAAGGAAGAAGGAAGGAAGGAAGGAAAAGAAAAAGAAGGGAAGGGAAGGAAAAAGAAAAGGCCAGTCACAGAACAGTTCAAAAACAGGTAAAACTGAGCTATGGTGTTAGAGAGCTAGATGGTTGTTATCCTGGTTGGGTGAGGTGCTGCTAACTTATTTTTTTCCTTAATCTGGTAGCTGATTTAATGGGTATGTTCAGTTTAATTTTATCAAATTGTACGGTCATCTGTGCACTTTCCTCTATGCATTTATATTTCATAAAAAGTTAACAAAAACGTGGGCCAAAGTCTCAGGAGAATCAGGGCTCTGGGCTTCCAGTTTGCTCTGTAATACATAGATTTCTTCAGAGGCAACAGCAGAGTAGCTTTTAAAAAAACAAACTTATACTTCAGAATGCAAGTAAACCCTCTCTGTATATGCTTTCTTTAGAAGCTCCTACAAAGTCCATTGAGGAACTTGTCTTTCCTTCTGGGTCATTACCCACCCTCACATTTACCCTTAGATGTGATCCAATACTATTGTTCATTCTTGTTCTCAAACTAGAAAAATAAATTCCTGTACACCATATTACTAGCCATAACTATCAGTAAAAGTACAGAATTGGAAACCATAGATGCAAGAGGAGAACCCAGAGGAAATTTCCAAGTAGGCTGTAGTCTACTATAGGCTGAGAGGGTCATAAAACATAACAGAAATTTCAGGTAGTTGTGAAGAGGCAGTAGGAATCATACTGGGCTGAAATAATCTATCCAGGAGATAGGCATGTCTTAGCCTGGGCCATGGGTCATAGGTAGAGAATCAGTTGGATATAAAAGATAGGCTTTAGGGGCACCTGGTTGGCTTATTTGGTGGAGCATGCAACTCTTGATCTCAGGGTTGTGGGTTCAAGACCCACAACGGATGTAGAGATTACTTAAAATCTTATTTTTTTAAAGATTTTATTTGAGAGAGAGAGAGAATACGAGTTGGGGGGAGGGGCAGAGGGAGAGGGAGAAGCAGGCTCCTCACTGAGCAGGGAGCCCAATGCAGGCCTTGATCCCAGGACCCTGGGATCATGACCTGAGCCGAAGGCAGATGCTTAACCTACTGAGCCACCCAGGTGCCTCCCCTCCCCCCAAAAACACAGGTTTTAGATAGTCACTGCACAAACACATCCCAAAGGTGCTTCAATTCAGGTGATTGATGGAGTTGAGGAAGCTGTTTTAGGTAATGAAGACTGCAGACTATGGATGTATGCTGAGGTTTGGGTTTTGGGGGGTTCCTTGAGAAAAATGATTGTCTCAAGAGTTATTGACATGGTAGAAAGAATCACTGACATGGCAGAATTTAAGAACCAAATCAACTTTGGCTCCCAAAAGCTAGGGCTAGGGAAGTAGGAGTATGGATAAAGAAGTTAGAGGAAAGTAGAACCTTCTAGAGGAAGTCAAATTGTATATATCAGGACTAAGAAAGTTGTTCCTGGATTGGGAAGGAATCCTGGAAAGGACTCAATTAGGGCTGCCTAAGAGAAATTCCAGGGGCAGAGTCTAAACCTAACAGAACTGATACCTTGTCTAGCGTAACAACGTTGGTTGTTATTGTTACAAATTAGACCATGCAAGAATTTCCCCAAGAGGTATCCTAGGGGTGAGGGAATCTGTGATCAACTGTACTGGGTAAGTTGTCTGAAAATGCAGGGACTAGCCTAGTTTCTGACTTTCTTCTCAGAGAGGACTCTTTGCTCAGGAGCATTGCCCAAAGTGAATCACAACCTCATGCCTATTTTCACAACTCAACCTTTCGTTTATCCTTTCCACCTCCTAATGGTACTAAAACCTGGACCAATTATAATTCAGTGAACTAGTAATTACATATTTCATGCTTGATTATACTATCTTTATAATCAGATGTTACCAATACCAGTATTTCCCACACTTACCTTAGTGCCTTTCATGAAATGGGATAAAATGCCACCACTAAAAAGAGTCAGACCACCTGAACTGAATATCAATTTCCAAGGTATGTGTATTAACATTGGTCTTCCTTCCCTAATGTGGACAGATGTATGAAAGAAACTTCACGTGAAGTGGCTTTGAATCTTGAATATTCAAGTATATTGTACATTTCTACTTTAGAATAACTGGGAGTTGTTTTGTTTTAGGGGTGGGAGCAGGGAAGGCGCCTGAAAATTGAAAGGAGGAAAAGAACGAGGCAGGGACAGAACCAAGGTGAGACAGTTGCACAGTTGACTCCAAGGCCTTTATGGAAACCACATGGCAGGAAGGCTGGGGGCATTTACCTTCTATCAGCTAAACTCCAGTCGGGCACTGGATTCCTGTGATGGAAACTCAGAGAAGCTGACGCATGACTTGGCTTTTTCCAGTGGGGTACTCTCTGGACACTGCCCATGCTGCTGACTCTGCCTAGCTCTGGAGGCAGAAGCAACAAGAGACTAAGGATTTTTTCCCCCTCTTATATAAGTAAGCCCCACCACTTGAAAATGGAGTATCAAAAAAACTAGCCAAAATGATCTCTCCTAAACTAGCTTAAGTGTACACCTTCTCCAGTAAGTACTCCCGTCACCCACCCCCCTCCCCAGGTCAGGTTAGGTGCCTGATCCTTTGTTCTCTCAGCTCCCAGCCAGTAGCTCCATGGCTGCACTAACCCCAATATGATGACGTTACAGTATCTCACTAGAAAAGGCTTAACTTTTTTGCGTCTTCTGTAGTCTGCTGAAACCTATGGACCAATTTTCAGAGTAATGTTTTTCAATGCACAAAATAAAATACATAGGGTTACAAAAGAAAACAATTATATTGAAATATAGTTCTTAACTCCAGACAACTTCTGAAGTATGAAGTCCTTGAGTGCAGGAACTCTGTCTTCATCTCCGTACTGCTAGTGCCCAGCACAAAGCCTGGCACGTAGATGGTACTTATAAATGTTTATTTGATGAGTGAACAGAAAGATAGATGGCTCCTGCCAGGTCAGCCTGAGGAGTGATTCACTGCAACTGCTTGTGCACATACCAACGGCTTGCATATTTATATTTCTCCCACTGTCTGAGATCATTTAGACCAGGGCTCTGAGGACACCCCCACTCAACAATGGGTAGCACAGCAGTGAGCAGTAATGACAGGCTATTGGAAGACCAGGAAAACAACACAGCTCATGTATTTCCACAAGCCAGAATATTCAGATAGTGAAAGTAAACAGGTTCTGTCTTCAGGAGGAGGAGATCTCTTGACCTTGGAAGCATGATGCTCACACTGCTTTAAAACACTACAGACAGCTGAAGGAGGAAAGAAAGGAACCTGAGCTAGTGTGTGGTGTTCTCCGGAGCACCTCCTTTGTCCTGAATTGGACCACCCATCTCTGGGAAAGCGAAAAGTATCCCTAAAAACCAAGACAGGCACATGGCATGTGCCTTCCTGGGTTCGAGTAGCAGTTTTAGGCTTAGATAGAAATTCTGTTTTTGTTTATGTACCATCAGAAAACCTAAAGAGGCAACAATAAAAGCCAGTTCCCTCACTAAAGGGCCAAAGGTTTGTTCTAAGCTGATTGCTACATCTATTAAACATTTTGAAGAGAAAAGTAAAACCCCAGACAATTTTAGAGCTGAAAGCCACAACTATATGGGGTTCAGAAATTTCACCCTTAAGGCTTTTAAGATTGACCCTCCCAAGTTAGAGGGCTTCTCTAGCTATTAAAGCCATCTGAGGGATGGCAGAACGGTTTTCACTTGCTTGACAACAGGGTTTCCAACATCTGTTGGAAGAAACATGGCTTCAGGTGGGTGCCTTCTCTAAAAAAAAGGCGGGGGGGGGGAACTATAGGTCAAAGTTTTGCTTTTAATTAAAAAACAAAAAACAAAAAACCTCCCACTCCTAAGGTGTGTGCTATCTTTTTTGACCTCATTTTCCTTTAAATTGTCTGCAGTTTCCCTATATTTGTCCTAGTGCAGTAAACAATGCAATCAAAGAAATAAAAACCAGGATCCACTCTTGCCCCAAACACTGAAGATGGTCAAAGAGCAGGAATCACAGCACGGAAAATGGCCCAGCTCTAAATATACAAACAACATTAAACAACAAACAAAACAAAACCAAAAAACCCCAAGATATTATTATTGACATTCCTGGTACATTTCCTATAATATAATGTTGCAGACAATGCTTCTTTCCCAGGGAGTCCAGCTCGCTCAGGAGGAGACATCTACTGAGTGCCTCAGGATAGGCTGGGGCTGTTGAGTCTTCCCTGCCAAGCCTAAGGTTTTTTTATGAGCTTAATATCTCACAGAAACATCTGTGGTATAAATGGTATAAATGAATCTAAAAGAGGATGAAGGCAGGCAGGCACCTGTCACTGTTCTCCAAATCAGCCAAAAAGCTGAAGAGCGTGGGATCCAGGAGACAGATGCCATTAACAATTGAGGGATGGAGGGTAGAACAAGAGGAAGCACCAAATGAGTGGCTGCTTTTGGTTCCAAAGCCAAAAAAGGGCCCCACCAAAAAGGGCAGCTGGTCTAGATGAGGAACTCCCCTGCGCCTGGAGTCATGCAATAAAAATGATGGCCTTGGAGCCCCACCCCCATGACAGCCACAGTCCAAGAACCAGAGAAATTTACACCACATCACATAGTTTGCAAATGAATGGACTGATCCTAGTTTAGGAGGGTTAAGTGCTTTGACAAAGTTGGGGAAGGGAGGGAAGGTGAGCTTGAATCACAAAGCCTAGCTGTGACAACCAGGGATTTCTATTTCTGCAAAGCCACGGCCCCTAGGCCCCTGATGCCACTTGGTCCATGGAGATGTACCCTTCCACTTATTACTGGCCTCTCCTAAAAATGGCACCCATGGTAATAACCCTTAGAGATACCAAGAGGCATCAGTTGCACTTCTGGAGCTAAGATAATTTCCTTGCCCCATCCTGGCCAAAGCACTTCCCTTTTTAAGCTGCTCCTGGTATATGCCACCTTCCCCTCCAAGCATAGGTCAACTTTCTTTCCTTTCAGAGTTTCGCACCGGCCTCTGAGGGCTCTTTCCAGGATACAAAATAAAGTATCTTTCTGCTTCCACGTGTGGGTGGGTTGCCTTCCAGTGGCAGATCTGCCTTCCAGAGTTTGGTCAATGCACCTTTACAAAAATAAAACCACATGCGTGCACAGACAGACTAGCCTGGAAAGGGCTTTCTGGACATGGTTTGATTATCTTGATGCCTCCCTTAAAAGAAATAACTTTCTTGGTGTAAAAAGATTAGGACCTTGAGTGACCTACTCTCAACTTCTGGAAGGACAGCTTGTTTTTGTCCATTTTTCAATAAGGGGGTGGGAGGAACCCAACATTTTCAGTTACAACAATGAGATTTTGTTTAAAAAAAAAAAGGATCCTATGTGGAAATGAGTGGGACAATGATAAAAATAAACAAATAATTAAAATTCCAAACCAAAACGTATCTCCTGGCCCCGACATCCCCAGTTAATCCTCTAAGACCACAATTTCCACATTGTGGACTTGATGCTGGTGGTCTTCCATCTCAGCCACAACTTTCTCCTCAGTCCTCAGCTCTGTCTCCAGAATGACTGCTTTGCCCTCAGTATCCTCAGCCTCTGGGTCTGGGGCTGGGTCAATCTCAATGATGGTCTGCCCATCCTCCGAGGTGCTTTCAACAGCCTGGATTGCTGAGGTCAGGCCGGACTCCATGGCCACCAGCTCCACGGGGCTCACCATGGTGGTCATGTTGCCCAGGGTACTCCCATCCTGCATGGCGGTGGAGCTTAGCAGTGCCAAGCTAGATGAAGGGTGGATGGTCACTGTGTCTGGTGAGCTGCTCTTGGCAGAGGAGACCACTGTGGCATAGCGGAAGAGCTGAGGGCCAGAAGGCAGTGTGTGAACAGTCACAGGACTGGAGCCCTGGCTGAGGGTGGCCACTGGAATATTGCCCATGGAAAATGACTGGCCCACTGGGGTGATGGTGATGGGCGAGATGACTGTGAACTGAGGCTGCTGGACCGGAGGAGAAGGGCTCAGGACTGTGGTGGAAGCTGGCCGCTGGAGTCGGGGCCTTTTTGGAGGCTTAGGAGTGCTCACAGGCATCAGTACCACATTTTGAACCGTCTGGGATTTCAGCCTGTGATCCTGAGCTTGCTTCTTCTGCTCTTCCAACTGGCGTTCCAACTCTGTGGAAAAAAAAGACAGACTTTGCGTGGAGAGAAGTATATTCTTGGGAACAGTGAATGGAGTCAGGAAACCTGAGGTCTTGTCCTGGTTTTGCCACTATATATCTTCATTGTTTCCTTTCTTTTTTTTTTAAGATTGTATTTATTTATTTGACAGAGAGATAGGGAGGGCAGGAACACAAGCAGGAGGAGTGGGAGAGGGAGAAGCAGGCTTCCCGCCGAGCAGGGAGCCCGATGCAGGGCTCGATCGACCCGAGCAGAAGGCAGACGCTCAATGACTGAGCCACCCAGGCGCCCCTAGCTTCATTGGTTTTCAAAACAAGAAACAAAACTGGATGATTTTTAAAATCCCTCCAGCAATTACATTTCATTGTGTGATTATAGGCAGGGCAACAATTCAGAATCATTTTCAGGCTGTGATTCTACTATAGCTCAACCCTAGAGGCTCCTGTGGCATTTTGTCACCTATCACCAAAATGCAAACCAAAGAAGCCTGCAGTTGATCACACAGCTTATAGATGCCTTCCCTGGATCTACAGATGAAAATAAGGAATATTTGCACAATCCCTTTGGAACTAACATGGACTACAGAGGAGCTACAGTGACTGCTCCAAAAAACAGTGATTCCCAAACTGTTCTTCAAGGCAGGATCACCTTGCTAGTGACCTTAGTCTACCAAATGGCCTTAGTTTACCATTAGCACCCAGAGAAGTCTACAGAAAGTTACAGAGGAAGTCCCTAAGAATTACAGAACTGAAAGAGGTCTTAGAGTTCTAACACATTCATTTTAACTGGAACCCAGAGAGATAAAGTGACTTACTTAAAGTCTCAAAGCTTGGGCCAAAACAAAAGTCTTCTGATGGCCAACTTGGTGGCTTTTCCACCACAATACGTCTATCACTATCCCTCTCCCAATGTACAATCCAACCCTGGTGACCACTGGTGAGTCTGGTTCTACACCAGAACTTCTTCTATTGCTTAGAACCTGAGAAGCATTCAATAAATAATCAGTTTCATCTGGAGAGCACTTTGCTCCTATGGAACACCAAGAGCAAATCAATTCCTTGCTTGGAATAAAAGGAGTAGGTAGGGATCAAGAACACATTAAAAAAAATTTTTTTTTTCATTCAAAAATTTTTAAATACTGCCTCATAAGTTACAAAATACTGCATTTTTTTCCATTTCCAGTAGTAACCAAAGAAATATAAACCTCAAGACTGGGTGGCTCAGTTAGTTAAGTGTCTGCCTTCAGGGGCGCCTGGGTGGCTCAGTCATTAAGCATCTGCCTTTGGCTCAGGTCATGAGCCCAGCGTCCTGGGATCAAGCCCCGTGTCAGGCTCCCTGCTCAGCGGGGAGCCTGCTTCTCCCCCTCCCACTCCCCCTGCTGTGTTCCCTCTCTCACCGTTTCTCTCTGTCAAATAAATAATTAAATCCTTAATTTTAAAAAAAAGTGTCTGCCTTTTGCTCAGGTCATGATCTCAGGGTCCTGGGATCGAGTCCTGCATCAGGCTCCCTGCTCAGCTGGGAATCTGTTTCTCCCTTTGCCCCTCCCCCCTGCTCATGCTCTCATGCACACACTCTCTCTCTCTCTCATAAATAAATAAAATCTTTGAAGAAGATAACAATTACATCTATAATTTTTTAAAAAGTTAAATCAGAGAATATTATAAATAATAACATCCAATGTTGGTGTGTTCAAAATGGTGACATAATCTTGGAAATTTGGCAACAGGTCATAAAAATCCATAAAACAATTTTCTTTTTTTTTTTTTTAAAGATTTTATTTATTTATTTGAGAGAGAGAGAATGAGAGAGAGCACATGAGAGGGGGGAGGGCCAGAGGCAGAAGCAGGCTCCCTGCCGAGCAGGGAGCCCGATGCGGGACTCGATCCAGGGACTCCAGGATCATGACCTGAGCCGAAGGCAGTTGCTTAACCAATTGAGCCACCCAGGCGCCCTATAAAACAATTTTCAATACTATTTAACTTGAAGCTTAGTTCTGGGAAGTAGTTTAAAAGGACATAAAAAGGGAAAGTTATATTCATACAAGTTCACTGCAACAAAATAAGCTACCAAAGAAAATTTTGAAAATTTAAATGTCATCCCTAGAAGAATGTCTAAGTAAAGCACTGTGTAGCAACTTGGGAAAATAGTAATATGTCACAGTAAAAAAAGCAGAAAACAAAACTTTATGTATACTATGATTAAACCTATCTAAAAAAAATATGGACAAAGAACCAGAAGCCCACATTCTTAACAAAAACCATTTTTTGGATGGTGTGAAGTTTCAAGGTGAAAGCACTGGATTAGGAGTAAGAAAGCCAAGTTCTATTCCAGGCTTCATTGCCAAGTACGGATGTGGCCCCAAGGCAAATCATTTATACTCTTTGTGACTCTGGTTCATCTAAAAAATAGGGATAATAGCCTCTAACATTCTTTTCTTTTTCTTTTAAGGATTTTATTTATTTATTTGAGAGAGAGAGCACATGAGAGGGGGGAGGGTCAGAGGGAGAAGCAGACTCCCTGCTGAGCAGGGAGCCGGATGCGGGACTTAATCCTGGGACTCTAGGATCATGACCTGAGCCGAAGGCAGTTGCTTAACCAACTGAGCCACCCAGGCGCCCTCTTTTTTTTTTTTTTTTTAATATTTTACTCTTTTATCTGACACAGAGAGAAAGAGTACAAGTAGGCAGAGTGGCAGGCAGAGGGAGACAGAGAAGCAGGCCTCCCGCCGAGCAGGGAGCCCGATGCAGGGCTCAATCCCAGGACCCCGGGACCACGACCCGAGCCAAAGGCAGAGGTTTAACCAACTGAGCCACCCAGGCACCCCAGCGTCTAACATTCTTAGGAGGATCAAATGAAAAGGGTCTCAGGGTACTCAGTAAATGAGTTTAAAATATATACTGGGTATAAAAGTAAGTTTAAGACAACATAAATTGTTCTTCTCTTACCAAATAATCTTGCCTTTTGACTTCATGACTATGATATATTCTATATCATTCAAAGCTGATAATCCATGCCTCTGACTTATTTTATATTTTTCACCTGCTTTACCCAAAACCTTTTCTTGATTCTCTCTGGGTATAAGTGACAACTCTCTTTGTTCTTCCACCATACCCGCCTCAGTTACAAAGCTGACTACTTTTTGCACTTATTTCTATGTCTGCTTTCCCTTGAGTTCCTTAAAGACCATGTAGAGAGTGAGACGTCTTAGTCAACATTACATTTTTACAACCTAGTTTGGAGACAGTGAAAATTTTTTTTTAAGATTTTATTTATTTATTTGTCAGTGAGAGAGAGAGCACAAGCAGGGGGAGCAGGAGAGGGAGAGGAAGAAGCAGGCTCCCTGCTGAGCAAGGAGCCTGATGCGGGACTTGATCCCAGGACACTGGGATCATAGCCTGAGCCGAAGGCAGATGCCCAACCGACTGAGCCACCCAGGCATCCCAGAGACAGTGCAAATTAAGTACTTGATAAAAAGTGTTAAATTATTCATGGGCTCATAATTTCTGATTACCACAAATAATGGAGAAGGTGATAACTTAATAGTTATCAAAAGATCCAGGGGTGCCTGAGTGGCTCAGTCGTTAAGCGTCTGCCTTCGGCTCAGATCATGATCCCAGGGTCTTGGGATCGAGCCCCGCATTGGGCTCCCTGCTCAGTGGGAAGCCGGCTCCCTCTGCTTGTGTTCCCTCTCTCACTGTCTCTCTCTCTGTCAAATAAATAAATAAAATCTTAAAAAAAAAAAGATGCAATATCAATAATGTAACAAAAACAAAGGCCAATTTGTCTCTTCTGCCACTAATATTACTGGATTAATGGAGAAATTGAGCAGATATCTTAATCCTCCAAAAGATACAGAAGGACCATGATGAGGAAGGAAGGAAGGAAGGAAGGAAGCCAGTCCCAACAGAAGTCCACAAAGAAATGGCAAGACTCAAGGATATTAGTATAATATCACCTAAGAAGAAACAAGTTATACGCACCTGTCAGAGTATAGAGAAACTGCTCTTCTCCCTGCTCTACTTGGTTCCTTCTGTTGTCCAAAACCTTCTTCACCGTGTCCATTAGGCCAAATGTATGTGCTACATTGTTGAGAACAGCAGCATCTATTTAAAACAAAGACATGCCCGTCAAGTTAAAACAGAAGTGTTTCCCTAGCTCTCTGTTGTACTGTGTATAAATATGAAACAACCCAGAAATGATGGTACTATTCTAACTGCATTTTTAAAAATTTTGGCAAAGATAAAAAAAAATATTTTTGGCAAAGATTTATCACATGCATAAATTAACTTTAATTGTTATAACTTTATACATCTTTCCATATAAATAAATATAAAAATAAAAAAAATCTTGCATCTGGTTTTAAGTTCTGACTTCTGGTTTAGAAAACATGGTCACTGTGTTAGATAGAGCTAAGTTTGAATCTAAGTTTTATGGTTTCCTCCTATCTGTGTGAATCTGGATAAGTCATTTCACTCCTCAGTTTTCTCATCTGAAACAAAAGGGCCTAATAATACTTATCCGGCAAGACAGACACAAAGATTAGAAAGATCATATTTTAGGGGCACCTGAGTGGCTCAGTTGGTTAAGCGTCTGACTCTTGATTTCGGCTCAGGTCATGATCTCAGGGTTGTGAGATCGAGCCCCACATCGGGCTCTGCCCTCGGCGTGAAGTCTGCTTGTCCCTCTCCCTCTCCTCCTCCCTGTGCTTGCTCTCTCTCTCTCAAATAAATAAGTAAAATATTAAAAAGAAATAGCATATTTTAGGGGTGTCTAGGTGGCTCAGTTGCTTAAGTGATTGCCTTCGGCTCAGGTCATGATCCTGGAGTCCCGGGATTGAGTTCCACATCGGGCTCCCTGCTCGGCGGGGAGTCTGCTTCTCCCTCTGACCCTCCCCCCCCAATGTGGTCTCTCTCTCTCTCTCTCTCTCTCAAATAAATAAATAAATAAAATCTTAAAAAAAATAGCATATTGTAAGTGTCAAACATGGGAACTGGCATGCAATGTTATTCATAGTGTTACCTCTGTTCCTCTTTATACAAAACTTCTTGAAAGCATTGTCAGTAGTTGTGGTCATTATTTCCTTAACTCAGACAACTTCTCCACCTACAATTCTCTTCCACAGTCATCTCATCCAGTTTCATGCTTTTAAATAACATGTACATGCTGAGAACTCCCAGACGCAGATCTCCAGCCCTCACCTCTTTTCTGCGTGCCAGATTCATACTTCCATCTAGCTGAGTGACATCTCCATTTGAAGGCCTCATAATCATTTAGCAAGTCAAAACTAACTTTTTTCTTTCTTTCTTTTTTATTTTAAGTAAGCTCTACGCCTAACATGGGGCTTGAACTCATGACCCTGAAATCACGAGTCACATGCTCCACCCACTGAGCCAGCCAGGTGCCCCAAGTCAAAACTAACTTTAAAAAACCAGTATGTGACTCCTGATCTCAGGGTTGTGAGTTCAAGCCCTACACTGGCCATGAAGCCTACTTTAAAAAAAAGCACAAACAAACAACTACCAACTGTACTAACTACAACTCTCCCAGTGATCTTCATCTCAGGAAATGGTGTCACCATTCATGGCTCAGGCCAAAAATGTATGAGTCATCCTGGATTTCTGTCTTTCTCTTTTACCCTACATCCAATCCATCAGCAAAACTTGTTCTGTTCCACACTCAAAATATATCCCCAATATGATCACTTCTTTTCAGGTCTACCACTATCTACTCTAATCCATGCCACCATCATCTGTCTGGAATAGTTCCTTCAGGAGTCTCCCAACTGATTTCTTTTCTTTTTTTTTTAAATAGGCTCCATGCCCAATGTTGGGCTTGAATTCATAACCCTAAGATCAAGAGTTGCACTCTCCAACAACTGAGCTAGCCAGGCACCCCTCCCAACTGATTTCTTGCCCCATACAGTCCATTCTCCATATAGCAACCAAAATGATCTTTTAAAAATATTAAAAAATACACAATTATATTAAAAATATAAAAATATAAATAAATCCTTATCACTTCACTCCCCTGCTCAAAATCACTATGATGGCTTACCATCACCTTAAAATAAAACCAAAGTTCTAACCAAAGCTTATCTAAACTGTCTTCTCGGGTGGCTCAGTTAGTTAAGTATCTGCCTTCGGCTCAGGTCATGGTCCCAGGGTCCTGGAATCGAGCCCCACATCAGGCTCCCAGCTCAGCAGGGAGCCTGCTTCTTCCTCTCCCCCCCTGCTCCTGCTTTCTCTCTCTCTCTAAGTAAATAAAATCTTAAAAAAAAAAACAAAACTAAATAAACTGTCCTCTTTATTCCTCTCCAACCTTATATCACCTATCACTCTCCTATACCCTAATACACTGTGGCTGCCTCAGAGCTTCTATAATTCTTTGAACCTATGAGGCCCATTGCAACATCAAGATTTTTGTTCCTTCCGCCTGAAATGTTCCTTCTCCCAGCTCACCACATGGCTAGCTTCTTTAATTCAGGTCTCTGCTTAAATGCCACCTCCTTAGGGAGGCCTTCCTTGATCATCCTATCTAAAAGAGTCATCCTTGGGCGCCTGGGTGGCTCAGTCGTTAAGCGTCTGCCTTCGGCTCAGGTCATGATCCCAGGGTCCTGGGATCGAGTCCCACATCGGGCTCCCTGCTCGGCAGGAAGCCTGCTTCTCGCTCTCCCACTCCCCCTGCTTGTGTTCCTGCTCTCGCTATCTCTCTCTCTGTCAAATAAATAAATAAATAAATCTTTAAAAAAATAATAATAATAAAAAAAATAAAAGAGTCATCCTTGCTTTCTATATTATTTGCCTGTTTTTTCCTTCAAGAATATAAAAAAAAGATTCTACTATAAAGTTTAAGGGTATTTATATAATGTATGAATTATAAAGAGGTAATAAGACACAACAAATCTAGGAACTCACACACAAGCTTATGAGATATTATTATGACTTGTCTTTTTTTTTAAGATTTTATTTATTTATTTGATACAGAGAGACACAGCAAGAGAAGGAATACAAGCAGCGGGGAGGGAGAAGCAGGCTTCCTGCAAAGCAGGGAGCCTGATGTGGGGCTCGATCCCAGGACGCTGGGATCATGACCTGAGCTGAAGGCAGATGCTTATTATTAAACTCTACCCCCATCGTGGAGCTCAAACTCTGACCCCAAGATTAAGAGTCACATGCTCCACCGACTGAGCTAGCCAGAAACCCATCATCACAACCCTTTTGTATCAGATGATTAGAACATCCTTTTACATTATGCACAGCAGCAAGTACCCCATGGGTATTCAGAAACAGCTGTAAGTGCACACAATAGTTCTGGAAACCTTAAACTGATAGAATATGAGACTTGTCTAAAACCAGGTAACTTTCTCCAATTTTCAGACTCTATCTATCTATATGTAATAGAGAGAGAGCCTGCTTTCTGGCACCATTTATAAAGGCAAAAATTACCTGTGGAAAAGCATGACCAGACCTGAGTTCAAAACTTTATTATGAACTATGGACACGTAACTTTTATAAGCCTTAGTTTCCTAATCTGTAAAATGGGGAAAATAATACTTATACCCCAGTGTTTTCATGACACTAACAGGATCTGCCTACAGTTGTTAGTGTTCAGTAAAATAACCACTGTTGTTAAAATTAGTGCACTTACCTGTGACCTGGAAGGGAGCCTGAATGAGCCGCTGCTGAACTCCCCTGAGTAGCTCCTCTATTTCCTTCTGTATATTGCAGACAACCTCTTCCATCAGCCCTACATCAGCTATTCCTTTCCAGAACATCAAAGTGTCCTCTGACACAAGAGGGATAAGACAGAAGATAAACAAGGGATGCTACACATACTTAGGCAAATCTCTACAAGTTAAACTCAAAATTATTTCAATTTGAAATGATTTCTTGTTGGGCCATTTCTGGGAAAAAGGAAGAAGTTTTTGGAATATTAGCTGCCCTCCTGAGTTGGTACCCAATTATTTGCCCTCTTGAGCAACATAGGGACTTGAGATAATTGCCTCAATTTGTCATGGCTCTGGCTATAGGGAGCAGGTTATCTTCCTCTAATAAAGATATTAAATAAATATTAGATATTATTTATTTAAATAATTTAATTTAAAATTAAATAGTATTTAATATCTTAAAAGTTAAATAATAAAGATATTAAATTAAAGATATACAGGCGAGCCTTGTACAACATGGTGTGAACTGTGAGGGTCCACTTACATACAGATCTTTTTCAATAACTACAGTACAGTGATGTACTGTATTTTTTAAATTAAAAAAATTTTTTCTTATGATTTTCTTAATAACATTTTCTTTTCTCTAGTTTATTGTAAGAATACAGTATATAATACATATAATATATAAAATATGTTAATCGACTATGTTATTGATAAGGCTTATAGTTAAGTTGGGGGGGGCAGGGGAGTCAAGTTACACAGGGGTTTTCCCCTGCACAGGAGGTTGGTGCCCCAAACCGTCACGTTGTTCAAGGGTCAACTATACTCCCTCTAGTCCTATACTTACAAAATAAAATAAAACAGCTGAATAGGTGGGATGATAAGCTCTCTGAGGGCAGAGGCTTTGTCTTTTCATCTATGTTGGCAACAGTTCCAACTAAAAATAGGCAGCAATAAATATTTTTCAAGTGAATTAATGAATGGAGGATGATGTGAAACCCCCCCGGTCCCCTCTAAGTGAATCATCATTAGTCACCATCCTCTACACCACCTGCTACCTAATTTTTCCTTCTAACATCTTGCAGCCTGGTTTATCTAAGAAACGTTCCAAAGTTGGGGGCAGTTTGACAGAATGAAAAGCACTGACTACAGAGTCAAACGGCTGAATTCGGCTCTGACATTATTGGCTGTGTGGCTGGTCTGAGGCAAGCTGCTGCATCTTTTTGAATCTCAATTTCTTCCTATGTAAAATGTGACTGTGCATGGCTGTTGTTGCATGGATGAAAATAAAATGTTTGCAGCTACAATTATTATTAACATGCATGAGAAAAACCAGCAAAAGTAATTAAGAGACCTTCTGTGTCTATAATCATAACAGTGAGAAGGGTCACAAGACCCTGCAAGATATCTGAGCCTCATAGAAAAGTACCTGAAATTTCCTCTGAGTCTTTCTTCACACCCTCCTCTGTAGCCATGGTGACAGCAGCAGTGAGAGCGGAGTTCCATTCCAGCCCTGCCTCTTCCATGCTCTCTTCTGAGATGGCAATCTGTGTGATGCTACCTAAAAGCGGTCCATTAGAGGTAAAGCTGGTGAATTCCATGAAAAAGTCATAGCTATCCTTTATCTCATACAGCCAAAGAGACCCTGTTATTTTAAGGTCCATATAGTAAAAACTAGAATCCTTGGTAAGCCAGGATGAATACTGGATTTTCTAAAGAAAACCTGCCTTTCAAAAGAAAATGCTTTCTTCTTACTCTGAATAGAAAGGGAAAGATAACTTATAAAATCACAAAAAAGCAATCTGCTTCCTAAGCAGGTATGTTTTTTAAAAAGACTGAAGGTGAGCATGATTGCTGGGGTATCTGCCCCAGACTTAGTGAGGAGGACCTGAAATAATTTAAGAGAAAAGTATGGTGCTTAGCCAAGAGCCCTACTAAAAGCATATTTGATACTAACCATCTAGAATATCAGAAGTTGCTATAGCTTATTTATCAGGCTATGTAAGAGAAAGCAAGAGAAATGAGACCAAAAAAATCAGATAAGAAGAGATCCATGAATAGCAGATTCACAGAGGAAAAGAACATTTGCTATTAACATTGTATATTAAGATTTGATTTGATTTTTTTTAAGTAATCTTTCCACCCAACATGGGGCTCAAACTCACGACCCCGAGATCAGAAGTCACATGCTCTTTGTCTGAACCAGCCAGGAACCCCTCGTATATTAAGATTTTAAACAGGGGCGCCTGGGTGGCTCAGTTGGTTAAGCGTCTGCCTTTGGCTCAGGTCACGATCCCAGGGTCCTGGGATTGAGTCCCACATTGGGCTCCCTGCTCAGCAGAAAGCCTGCTTCTCCCTCTGCCTCTGCCTGCCAGTCCCCCTGCTGTGCTCTCTCTCTCTCTGTCAAATAAATAAAATCTTTGGCGGGGGGGCGGGGAAGATCCTAAACAAAGAAAATGGAGAAAAATCAAACTGTTATAGACAAGTATGGACTCCACATGCTGGAGGATATTAATAATCAAGCAAAAAAGTAATATTGATATGGATAATCAACTAAAGGAGTTTTGGCCAAATAAAAAGTAAATAATTTTATAGCATTTTTTCCTTTTCAAGTGAAAGACTCACATGACCAAAAACCAAAAATTCAAACTGCTAGATATTTTATACTTTCCTGAAGGGAACTTAGGTTCTAAGAGATTTGACTTCTACTTACCCAGTGGTTACTCACAGAATAGTAGGGCTAACCAAAAGAAACCTTGAGAGGTCATTTTTAAAACATGGTACTTCCCTTACATCCATTAGTATCCTTGTAATTCTGTCAGGCATATTTTTAAGTCTTCTGGAAGTAGTTGAGACAAGAATCTTAACTGGACTAACTGAATCTTTTTTTTTTTTTAATTCTGTTTGTTTAAGTAATCTCTACACCCAGTGTGGGGCTTGAACTCATGACCTCAAGATCAAGAGCCACATGCTCTTCCGACTGAGCCAGCCAGGTTCCCCTGGACTAACTGAATCCTTAATAATCATCTCACCTGGCTCCATCTTTCCTAGAGAAGAGCAAAGAGCTCTAGTCCAGAGGTCAACAATACAAGTTAAGCATATGCCCATCCTTCCTCATTGGTGAGGAAGCCTCAACTTGGTTATGTGGATCCCTTCCAGGCAGGGCTCTTTGATCCTTACAGCGGCCAGTCCAGCCAACCATACATTATCTTTGGTACATCTCAGCTCAACAGTTGAAAACCATTCACCATTCTACTTCCTGCCTGACCACCAGTAGAGCAAAGGATTTTTCAAAACAATCTAATTTCAAAGATATGCCAAGTGGCACCAAAGTGAGACCACTGAATAAACATAATAACCACTGACTCTTCTTTCTTTCTTTCTCTTTCTTTCATTCCTTCCCTTTCTTCTTTCCTTTCCTTTCCTTTCTTGAGAGAGAAAGACAGAGTGTGCATGGGGGGCGGGGGCAAAGGGAAAGGTGGAGAGAGAATCTTTTTTTTTTTTTAAAGATTTTATTTATTTATTTGAGAGAGAGAGAATGAGAGACAGAGAGCACAAGAGGGAAGAGGGTCAGAGGGAAAAGCAGACTCCCTGCCTAGCAGGGAGCCTGATGTGGGACTCGATCCCGGGACTCCAGGATCATGACCTGAGCCGAAGGCAGTCGCTTAACCAACTGAGCCACCCAGGCGCCCTGGAGAGACAATCTTAAGCAGACTCCACACCCAGCATGGGGCCTGACGTTGGGCTCGATCTCACGACCCTGAGAGGGTGACCTGAGTCGAAATCAAGAGTGGGACGCTTAACTGAGTGAGCCACCCAGGCGCCCCTGAACCATCTTTCTAATGTTTCTCATGCATACTTAGAAAGAAACAAGGAAGGAGGTATGGCCAATAGGAATCATCTGGGAGAAAACAAAGATCTGTTTCTAAAGTACGGAATCGCACCCAAGATTAGCATACCTTACAGGGACATCAATGCTCATGAGAATTAAAATTAAGAAACACAAAAGAGAAGTAAGGGGAAAAGTGTTACTAAAAAACACTGGTTTTTCAGGTGGTTTCCTACCCCCTACCATCGGCCGAAGTGGGTGTCTGCACCACACTTGTCTGCTGTCCTGGCACTGGAGCTCTTGCACTGCTGATCAGAAGATCAAATTTGGTGCTTCTGCAGGTATTGGAGCAAACCTTGTCATGTTGGTAAAAATCAATCTGTCCAGAGTCCATCATTTTCCTGTGTAAAGGGAGACAAGAAGTACCAGTTCAGCTTGCACTACATCTAGATGGAACTAGGCCTCTGGGACAAACAGAAACAAAGTTGCTGTATCTACTCCATAGATTAGTGAAACCTAATAGCATTTAAAGTCATTAGGTTGCAAAAGTTCTAACTGGGATTACAAAATTTTCATTGGCCCTGCCCACATTTACAAGTACTCCTATTCCCTCCTCAGTCTGCTCATTATGAGTATACTCTCATTTCCCGTTATCACCAAGCTTTAGCTAGGGATATACTCCTGACAACATGAGTATCCCCATAGAATCTCATTGAAACTAAACCCAAAAGGGGTAAAGACTAGTTCATATATCCCAGCACAACTGAGAAATGCTATAGGGAATAAGAATTTTATGATGAGATTCTGATGTATTAGTATTCCTAGACCAGCAAGATCTGTTGCCACTTTTGGAGACATAAAACTTCAGCACATTTCTTTCCTTAAAAAAAAAAAAAAAAGGATAACAACTCTCCTATAAATACAGTGCAAAGTTGATTATACTAAACCCCCACTATAAAATGCCCTTATAACTGGATTCACAAGACATTGTTATTACAGGCCATAAGCAAAATCATGGGGTATTTTAATTATAGTAAACTCTATGTTATAACGTTACTTGGCTTTCACTAAAGATCTTTTAGGCATTCTGATTCCTTCTTACATTTGAGGAAAGTTGGCATGTGCTTGTTTTTCTGGGCAAAAAGGACAGGCCAAGAACAACGATAATGGAAGTTAAAAGTATTCCTTCCCAATTTTATTTAACTACTGATTTCTGCATACAAATCATCTGGAATAATTTCTTTTTTTAAATGTGTCTCTCTATTAAAATAATATGTGAAGAAAAAATTAATATTTTCTGTGGAAAATACAGAAAACTATAAAGAAAACAACTGCTTTTTAAAAAATCCAACAGGGGCGCCTGGGTGGCTCACTCGTTAAGTGTCTGCCTTCGACTTAGGTCATGATCCCAGGGTCCTGGGATTGAGTCCCGCAACAGGCTCCCTGCTCTGCGGAAGCCTGCTTCTCCCTCTTCCACTCCCCCTGCTTGTGTTCCCTCTCTCGCTGTCTCTGTCTCTCTGTCAAATAAATAAATAAAATCTTAAAATAAAATAAAAAATAAAAAATCCAACAACACAAAGATAACATTAACATTTTGGGATATTTTCTTCTATTAAATTTTGTGTACATATGTGTGTGTTTGTTTTTTACACAACTAAAATCACACTGTGTATGTGTGTGTGTGTGTGTGTGTATATACATATATTTTTTTAGTAGGCTCCACGCCCAGCACAGAGCCCAGTGCGGGGCCTGAACTCACAACCCTGAAATCAAGATCTGAGCTGAAATCAAGAGTCAGACGTTATTTATTTATTTAGTTAGTTAGTTAGTTATTATTTATTTATTTATTTATTTATCCCCCCCCCCTTGGGTTCTCCTGCTCTCTATCAAATAAATAAAATCTTAGGGGAAAAAAAACATGTTCTCACTAATCAAACTTGAAAACAACGTATTTTTTAAAAATATATTTTATTTATTTATTTGAGAGACAGAGAGCAAGCACAAATGGGAGCAGGGGCAGAGGGAGAGGGAGAAGCAGGCTCCTCACTGAGAAGGAAGCCCGATGCCCTGGGATCAGGACCTGAGCTGAATGCAGATGCTTAACTGACTCAGCCACACAGGTGCCCCTAAAGCTGACTATAATTTTCAACAATGTTGCAATAAACATCTTTATGCCTAAATCTCTACAAGCACTATAGATTTTTCTTAGGACAGATTCCTTAAAAAGCATTAAAGACAATGGGTAAGGTGTTCTTAAGGCTGTTGATACATGTTCTGTGAGGAACTTTCCATTCCTGAGCACATTTTAAAATCCATCAATAGGTGAGTGCTCAAGAAATACCAATTAATGTTAATCTTCACCAGGGCGGGGGGGGGGGGTGTGGAATTACAATAATAAGCTTGCTGCATAAAGATGGGGGTGAGGGTATTATACATTCTGAAGTTTATTTCTGTGGTACAGTGATGGCAAGGATTGCATTCACTGAGTATGATTGTTACTTATCAACAGCAGCCTCTATTTTACCAGATAATCACAGAACTTGTCAGTAGCCTACACTTCTCCGAGGTCAGCACGCTTCCTCAGCACCAGGCTTAGCCCTGCCTGTGCTTGGCGATCTCAAGTACGACTGTCATCTACTCCTGAGCTTCTCTGCTCAGAAAGGATCCTAATATCCTGACATCAGAAAAAACTTGCCCTAGATGCTGGGAAGAGTTAATTTAGATTCTTGGTTTCAGCTTGATTTTGGCTCAGGTCATGATTTCAGGGTTGTGAGATCGAGCCCCACAGCCGGCTCCACACTCCTTGCAGAGTCTGCTTAAGGTTCTCTTTCCAGGGGTGCCTGGGTGGTAAAGTTGGTTAAGCATCTGACTCTTGGTTTCAGCTCAGGTCGTGACCTCAGGATCATGAGACCAAACCCCTCAAGAGGCTCCTTCCTCAGCACAGAGTCTGGCTGAGATTCTCTCTCCCTCTGCCTCTGCCCCTCCTGCTCGTGCTCTCTCTAAAATAAACAAGTAAATCTTAAAAAAAAAAAAAAAGATGTCCTTCCCTCCCCCACCCCACACTCTCTAAAATAAATAAATAAATCTTAAAAAAAACAAAACAGAACAAAAGGTATGTGCTTGTTTTCTTTTCTTTTTTTTTTTTTAGTAATCTCTACATTCAGTGTGGGGCTCTGCGATCAAGAGTTGCATGCTCTTCCAACTGAGCCCTGGTATGTGCTTGTTATTAAAGCTCACCTGAGCATGATTCCACCCAGACGAATGGCTCTCTTCCAGTCCTTTAGGGTGGACTTGCCAGCCAGATGAACAAAATGCTTGGGGCTGATCAACTGATCATTGAACTAAAGTAAAAAGAAAAGTCCAAAATCACTCAAGGTCAGCTTAGGCAGGCCAAGAGAGACAAAAAGGTAACTCTACTTGTTATATATGAAAAAATACCCAGATGGCATCTTAAGTCATAGCCTTGTATCTTCCAACCTCCTGCCCTGCTGTGCCAGAGAAGATGATCCTTCTCTGGGCACAGTGCCCTGTCCTGATACAGAGTTACAGAAGACAGGAGGAGGATAGAGATTAATATACTGATTAGCACCTGAAATCCATTTATGCCCTAAATCAGGAATAATATGTGGGTCCAATGTTGCAAAGGCTGTTTAAATAAACTGAAGTAACCTACCCAGCCCTAATGACAAGACTCAGGATGTGGTGGAAAGAATAAGTACCATAGAAACCACTATCACTGCAGAACCTCAAAACTCTGTAATCCTTCATGATTCTAGGATGATGCCACGGATGGTGAACTACTATCTATGGGTACAGCTGTGGCTACCAATGGAGACAGAAGCTTAAGCAATTATTTCCACTTTGTGCTCTCATGAGAATTTATTTTTATCAGTAATAATTTTTAATAAACTACTATAATGCATACTTCTATAAGGCATTTTACATATATTATCTCATTTTATCTGTTAGCAACCTGACAGTATATGTGATTATTCATATTTTAACATATGAGCCTCTGAAATATTAATTTGTTCAAGGTCACCCAGTCACAGAGATGGGACTCCATTCATTCATTCAACAAACATTTATAGATAAATATGCCAAGCATCATTCTAGGTGTTGGGGATACACTGGTGAACAAGAATACAAGTTCTCAGCTCTCCTAGAACTTGTATTCTGCGTGGGACTTGAATCCAGGCCAATTTCACTCCAAAGTCCTTATTTTTTTTCTGTGACACCATAGGGACTATAGCCACAATATTGAAAACATTGATATGGTAGATAAGAGAGAACAGGCACTGAAATTATACTCTTTGAAAACAAGGAGCCCCCAAACAGGCCCCAGTAAGGAGAAAAGACAATTACCTTGACACACTTCACATTTATTCCTGGACATACAAACTTCTTCCAGAGGAGAATGGCTTTGCTCTCCCCACAAGTTATGGGGTAAGCAATTTCCATATCCTCATTTGCTTCTATAGTGCTTGCATCTGAAAATGGAAAAAATATCAGTTATTTATTGAACACTTTTCCCCAAAAGCTTAATTCAAAATCTCTAGTCTCTTGGTTCCTCTGAGTAGCTAACAGTTCACATTGGCTGGTATTGTTTTGGAGTCTTCTGGAAGAAGTTTGGCATAACAGCTCTCTTATCAAGCCCACACTATGTGCCAGACACTGTCCTATGTGCTTTCCCATGCTTAATCTTATTTAGTTCTTACAGCAATCCTGTGAGGCAATGATTGTTTCTGATGTATGTAGGTGGGACTCGGAAAGGTGAAGTGACTTTCCCAAGGACACACAGCTAAGAAGTGAGAAAGTAGGATTTAAACTCAGGTTTGTCTAACTTCAAACTTTTTTTTTCAATTTCTTTCCACCGACTGCCTTCCAATCAACACCTCGTAAGTCCTAATCAGCAACTTCCCTAATGACAGGATCAACCTTGAGGCTCTATTTCTTTGGGGAATTTTTGTAGATGAAAAATCTTTTCAGTACCCTAGCAAACTGATGTTAAATAATCAACTGATGGGCCTAGCATTTGTCAGTGGTGTCTCTAGATGCACCACCATCAAACCGATGGCTGCAGCATTGGTAGGGCACATTGCGTAAGGGGGAAAATATAAGGCACAAAAGGCAAGAAATCTCAACCAAGGAAGCTAAGGTCAAAGATACTAGAATAACAAAAAGACTTACCAATCCCTTCTTCAATTTTGTGAATTGTGTGAGTTTCTACTGCCACAACTGCCGTGTTGTTCTCGGACCCGGGTTCATAAATCCTGTTGTAAAAGTGTCCATCGATAAACAAACTACATAAATCATGAAAAAATTAATATTCACAGCATGGGGTTAAGAAATTTGTTATAATCTATCTCAAAAGGAATAAAATAAATATACTTTACAACTCTATGTTAGTGCTCTGACTAGTTCCCCATTGTACTTAAACTCCAAGCTGCCCAGGACTGCTTAGCAGCTACTACCATGGACATGAATCAACAACTTTCCTCGCCTCCAAGGAAAGTTCCTCTTGCTACTGTCTTTACATCACCACTTGTTACTGTTTCACACCAGACTTTTCCCTTCATAACTTTAAATGCTTATGACATAAAATGTTGCTTCAAGTATAAGATTAAATTATAGAATTATCCTAAGAAGACTAAAAAGTAATACTGTTGGGACAGTTCAAGATCGGGGCACCTGGGTGGCTCAGTCGGTTAAGCATCTGTCTTCTACTCAGGTCGTGATCCCAGGACCCTGGGATCAAGCCCTGAGTGGGGCTCCTTGCTCAGCAGGGAGCCTGCTTCTCCCTCTCCCTCTGCCTGCTGCTTCCCCTGCTTATGCGCGCACATGTGCTCTCTCTCTCGCTGTCAAATAAATAATAAAAATCTTAAAAAAAAAAAAAAAGACCATTGGCCATAGAAGCTGATGTCCTTTGTTGGACTCTAGATACTTTAGTCTTTTTTAGCACTTTAGCATTTTTCAAAGCATCATATAACCAAACTATTGACATGAGCAGAGCCTAGTAAAAAAAAAGAGAGAGAGAGAGAGAGACCATGCCCAAAGTAACTAGCATTAACTAGAAGTATCACTTAGGGAAAGTCTCTCTAAAATGTTTCTACCTTCTACCTGGGTGGCTTAGTGAGTTAAGCATCAGATTCTTGATTTCGGTTCAGGTCACGATCTCAGGGTCCTGAGATTGAGCCCTGTGTCACCTCTGCACTGGGTGTGGAGCCTGCTTAAGAATCTCACTCTCGGGGCGCCTGGGTGGCTCAGTCGTTAAGCGTCTGCCTTCGGCTCAGGTCATGATCCCAGGGTCCTGGGATCGAGCCCCGCATTGGGCTCCCTGCTCGGCAGGAAGCCTGCTTCTCCCTCTCCCACTCCCCCTGCTTGTGTTCCCTCTCTCACTGTCTCTCTCTCTGTCAAATAAATAAAATCTTAAAAAAAAAAAAGAATCTCTGGGGCGCCTGGGTGGCTCAGCTGGTTAAGCGACTGCCTTCGGCTCAGGTCATGATCCTGGAGTCCCTGGATCGAGTCCCGCATCGGGCTCCCTGCTCGACAGGGAGTCTGCTTCATCCTCTGACCCTATCCCCTCTCATGTGTTCTCTCTCTCAAATAAATAAATAAAATCTTTTAAAAAAAAAAGAATCTCTCACTCTCCTGTTCTCCATCCCCCCTCCGTCTCAAAAAAATTAAATAAATAAAATGTTTCTACCTTCCAAGAAATGGGCTCAGATAAAATATACTAGCAACCTTTAATTTCTATAATAAACATAATGTATTAACTATTGCATCTTTTTTTAAAAGATTTTATTCATTTATTTGAGAGAGAGAGAGAGAGCACAGAGGGAGAGGGAGAGGGAGAAGCAGACTCCCCACCGAGCAGAAAGCCCAGTGTGGGGCTCCATCCCGGGACTCCAGGATCATGACCTGAGCTGAAGGCAGTCGCTCAACCGACTGAGCCACCCAGGCGCCCCCACATCTTGTTATCTGAAAGCACTGCTTGAATAATATCCCTTGTATCACCCACCCCCAGGGTGACACCGCTAGCACAGACCTCTCCTCTGAATTTCACACCAGGATACAGTTAACTTGCTAAATGAATAAATGCATTTGGATGTCCCATAGGACTTTGTTGAATTCATTATGTCTAAAATAACCAAGTTCTCTTCCCTCTCCCAAACCACTCTTCTTATATTTCCTATCCTTGTTAATGGCACCACTAGCACTCTACAGCCTAAGACAGAAGCCTGGGAATTACATCAGATTTCTCCCTCTTCCTCCTCCTCAACTCCCACATACTCAGCCACCAAATCCTACCAGATGTATCTCCTTAACACAAGCCAGCCTCCCTGTCTCTTTTTCCACTGCTACTGCCTTAATTCAGGCTGTTATCATCTCTAGTCTGAACTAGTCTCCTTGCATCTACCTGATCTTCTATATTCCTACTGGAGTGATCACGTAAACCCCTCCTTAAAACCCTTCAAGAACCCTCTACTTATTGTTACAATAAAGCCCCCAAATCCTTAATAGGATATTTAAGTTGCTCCAAGATCTGGCCCCTGGTTTCAACTCTCCCTAAACCTCACCTTATAATCCAAGCCCTAGTCATACCAAATTATTTGTGGTTCCCAGAACTGACATCTTCTTTTATACTTTCCCTCTTCGCTCTTACTTCCCCCTTTGCCCAGAACATCCTTCTCCATCTGGTTGTTTTTTAAAGATTTTATTTATTTATTTGAGAGAGAGCATGCTAGAGAGAGAGAGAGAGTGTGCGAGAGCAAGCGCGCACACAAGCACAAGGTGGGGGCTGGGAGGGGCAGAAGGAGAGGGAGAAGCAGGAGCCCAATGCGGTGCTCGATGCGGGACTCGATCCCAGGACCCTGGGATCATGACCTGAGCCAAAGACAGACAACCGACTGAGCCACCCAGGTGCCCGTTTGTTTGTTCTTAAGATTTTATTTTATTTTTTTATTTTTTTAAGATTTTATTTATTTATTTGACAGAGAAAGACAAAGCGAGAGAGGGAACACAAACGGGGAGTGGGAGAGGGAGAAGCAGACTCCCCGCCGAGCAGGGAGCCGGATGCGGGACTCGATCCCAGGACTCCAGGATCATGACCTGAGCCGAAGGCAGTCGCCTAACCAACTGAGCCACCCAGGCGCCCATTAAGATTTTATTTTTAAGTAATCTCTACACCCAACGTGGAGCTTGAATTTACAATCCCAGGATCAAGAGTTGCACGCCCTACTGACTAAGCCAACCAGGTGCCCCTCTATTTGTTTTTTAATAAAGAGTAGCCTCTATGATGCTTTTCCGTCCACACCAATCCCTCCAGTATAATCATCTACTTCCTCCTTTGTGACCCAACTGTACTTTAGGCTTTTGTCACAACAAATATAACACTTAATATTATACGTTTGTTTAGCTGTCTGCCTCCCCTTGGGCACAGTCCAAGAGGTTCCTGACAACAGAGATTATGTCCTATTTATTTATTCAATTTTGTATGTCTAGTGTGTTGAATACTAACTAGAACATGGCAAAGTACCCAATAAGTTGTTGGTCAGTGCATGAGGATTATGATAAACATGAGAAACCACTGCTTCAAGTAAGTTCAGTAAACTCATTCTAAATTGACCAATATATGCAAAATCATTTAAAAGAAGAAATTCTTATTTATACATAATTTCAACAACCAGTAAATTGCAATTGCAGTGGGAAGTAGGGGCACAGTCTATAAACAAGGTTTTATCAAGAAAAAATTTCCTGGGGTGCCAGGGTGGGTCAGTCACTTACATGTCTGACTCCTGATTTCAGTTCAGGTCATGATCTCAGGGTCATGAGACTGAGCCCCATGTCAGGCTCCATGCTGAGTTTGCAGCCTGTTTGGGATTCTCTCTTTCTCTTCCTCTGCCCCTCCCCCCTGAACATACGCTCCCTCTCTAAATAAATAAATAAATAAATAAATAAATAAATAAATAAATAAATAAATTTAAAAATAAATAAAATACAACTAGAGAAATCGACTGAGCACTGATTGGCAGATACCTCAGAATTCAGTACCTGAAAATGTATTCACTAGCTTATATGGCAAATTCAATGTAAACAGTAGGTTGGGGAGTCAATGTTGTACAAAGATGCCTATAATCTAATCAAGCAATGAGAGGTTTCCAGAAAAAGCAATGTCATTTGGAAAATAAAAAAAGACACACACACAAAATAAGTGGAACCAATCTTCAAAATAATTAAGTCTCTAAGTAGTTGAGAAGTGTTTTCTGTCTCTAGGAGGGATAGGATAAGTGACAACTGGAGCACTTTAGGAAAGATAGAAGAAACAATGATTCCAAGAGAAAATAAAGCTGCCATGCCCCAAAGAATCTACTCTTTAATTCTTCCTCATTACCCTTCCTCAAAGGGTAATAACTGTAAGTATGTGTGTATGTAACAAATGAAGTTCCCAAAGAGGTAAATTTGAATAAACAAGCATAAACTTTTGGGGCAAATAAAAATTCTCATCACTCTATCCACTATATGTCAGTAATTATTTTTTCTTAAGATCTTATTATTTTTTTAAGTAATCTCTACACCCAACATGGGGCTCGAACTCACAACCCCAAGATCAAGTGTCACACAGTCCAACTGAGCCAGCCAGGCACCCCGTCAGTACTTTTATTAACTTTCCTTTACAGATCTTATTTTTTTTAATAGTTTTTTTTTTAAGATTATTTATTTATTTATTTGACAGAGAGAGAGAGAGAGAGAGAGCAGGAACATAAGCAGGGGGAGTGGGAGAGGGAGAAGCAGGCTTCCTGCTGAGCAGGGAGCCCGAAGTGGGGCTCGATCCCAGGACCCCGGAATCATGACCTGAGCCGAAGGCAGACGCTTAACAACTGAGCCATCTAGGTGCTGGTATGTATTTTTAAAGATTTTATTTATTTATTTAACAGACAGTGAGAGAGGCAACACAAGTAAGGGGAATGTGAGAGGGAGAAACAGACTCCCGTTGAGCAGGGAGCCCGATATGGGGCTCAATCCCAAGACCCTGGGTTCACAACCCAAGCCAAAGGCAAATGCTTAACAGCTGAGCCACCCAGGCACCCCTCCCTTACAGATCTTAAAATATTTCCTTCAATATTCAGAAATGTCAGCAAACTATGGCTATATTTTAAAAACTAAAAAGTCCTTACTTTTACAAGATACATACTAATGTCTGGGATTTGCTTCAAAAAATTCAGGAGTGGGTGGATGTAAAGATGAAATAAGACTGGCCATGTGTTTATAATTGTTGAAGTTGGGTGATGGGTCTGTACATGGGGGTTCACTATAGTATTTTTTTAAAATCTGGGGGTATATTTGAAATTTCCTATACTAAAAAGTTTAAGTTACCAAGAGAGGTTGACTGTCTTTCTCCATAAGTGTTTAAGACAAGGTATGTTACTTAGTAGATTGAGAATGGATTATGTGTTTGCCCAAGAACATTTTTTTTTTCTCTCTCTTTCTTTTTTTTAAGTAGGCTCCCTGCTGGGTGTGGAGCCCAATGTGGGGCTTAAACTCACAACCCTGAGATCAAGACCTGAGCTGAAATCAAGAGTTGGATGCTTAACCAACTGAACCACCCAGGCACCCCCTTTGTTTAAGTAATTTCTACACCCAACATGGGGCCCAAACTCACAACCCTGAGATCAAGAGTCACATGCTCCACTGAGTCAGCCAGATGCCACAAGAACATTTCTAATCTTATGAAGAATCTTTTATACATTCCTCAAGATAAAATAACTACCCCCTCCTTCTCTCTGTAGATGTCTTATTTAAACTTCAAGACCAATTAAAAAATCTTATTTCTTCTTTCAAATTCATAGTGATCCTCTGAATTCAAGCTACTTCCTAACCACGACACTCAGTACTTCTTAGATTTTGCCATGTAAGTGACCTCTTTATTTACATATATGTATTTTTGGTTTGCACAACCAGACTGCAAGCTCCATGATGGTGGGAACCATCGCTATACTTCTTCCAACACTTTGTAATACATTATAAAATAGTAGGTCATTGATATGTATTTTTTTATAAACTAAGCTTGATTAATTTGCCCATCCCTTAGGGTCCCGACCACTTCTGGCAGGAAAACTTTCGTAGTTCCCTTACCTAATCTCCTCTGACTCTAACTACACTGTCTTTCAGTAAACATGTACCAAGGCCCTGTGCTAAACAGTGTGGATCAATAAGAGGAGGGAGCCATGTAACTTACCCTCAAAGAGCTTACAGTGAAGAGGGAAAGAGACAAGGACACAGTTAACTGTTGTAATAAGTATTACGATGACGAATATAGTACACAATACTTTATAAAGATGAAAACTTAGCCAGCTCTGAGAGATTGATGGTGAATGTTCCCTTGTGCTAAGCATACAGTTATAATTTCCCCACTCTTTAAACCTCCCCAATTTTTCAGAAGATCCAAATCTCTAGTCACTTACCCTTGTTGCACAGGCTGTAACTGCAAGATCACTTGGGTTTTAGTGTCTTCAGGGTTCTCCCCTTCATTTCCTTCAGTGGGTACCACAACCACATCCCCCACTGGAACACTCACTTCTGCATTAGCCATCTTTCACATGAAGTCAGATAGCTGGGCTGCTGTCAGAAACAAGAAGCACCAGTGACTTGGTCTGTTTTGAAAAGACGGCAATCATAGGAAAGGAACACCAAGATAATTATGACTACCAATTCCAAGATCGTGGTCCTCTGAAAAGGATAGGAACTGTGGGAAGGGGCTGACCTAGGCTCTGATCTTTCCAGAAATGCCTTAGGACTCACTTGCTGATTTAGGCTTTCTTAGGATATGTGATTCACCCAGTGCTGTACTGGACCCTGGGATCATGACCTGAGCCGAAGGCAGACACTTAACCAACTGAGCCACCCAGGTGCCTTGGAGCCTGCTCTTGAAAACCAATTGTGCACATCTCTTCCCAACTCTGAGTTTAGTGACATCAAACTGTTAGCTTGAAATCAATGATGCTGGGAATATATACACCACAGAAACTGGCAAGCACTAGAGGTCAGGATATTTTTTTTTTCCTGGAGAACTGATTTACAGCACACCACTAGTTCCATCCCAAACAGTAAGCTCCTAGAAAGTAGGAATCATCTCTTTTCTTTGCAACCAGCCATTGCACCTCACCAAGTGCTCTGTCCTTTGTGAATTACTTAATAAGTGTCCACTATATGAAATAAACTGGATAGGAAGAAAAGTGATTTGCATTGTGTGGTTGTTTAATAAATACTGAATCCAACTGTATGATCTCTAGGAACTTCTTACTACCTCTTTGCCTCAGACTGAATGGAGAGATGATCTTGCCTGACATCTCCCTTGCAGACTTGTTGGGGAAACCAGTGTCCAGCACCATGTGCTCCTTGACTCTAACAAAGAATCATTCCAATTTTAATGAAAACTCTGAGGGCCCCAGGATATTCTGCAGCGGTTAGTTCTCACAGTTGCAAAGAAAGGAGTCACTTAAAAGAGTATAGGTAAGAGCACTGTGTTTACTTAGATATGTGAGATGAGGGGCGCCTGAGTGGCTCAGTTGGTTAAGCGACTGCCTTCGGCTCGGGTCATGATCCTGGAGTCCCAGGATCGAGTCCCGCATTGGGCTCCCTGCTCGGCCGGAGGCCTGCTTCTCCCTCTCCCACTCCCCCTGCTTGTGTTCCCTCTCACGCAGTCTCTCTCTCTCTGTCAATTAAATAAATAAATAAAACCTTAAAAAAAAAAAAGATATGGGAGATGATTAGGACATGCTGATAAGAGTAGGGACATGGTAGATGCATGTTTGAATATGACTGGTAGTCAGACAACTGAATCCACACCTCAGCTCTGACACAGCATCTGTTTGCATATAATATGCATACTTAAGCACGGCACTCAAGGTCTCCATCATCTGGCCCCCAAATACTTTTCCAGTTTTATCTGCAACTGTAATTCCCCAAGAACCTTAAGTGCCAGCCACACCAGCCTCTCCCTGTACTCTGAAAATACAATATGTACCTTCAGGTTTCTATACCTTTGCTATTTCTTAAGCCCAAACTCTCTTTTCCCTCATCAACTTTTCCCTCCAAGGCCCCAGTTCAAAGCCCACTCCTCCACAAAGCCCCTGCCAAACCATTTTCTTTTCTACAGTCCCCCAATACTTGGTTTGTAGCTCTCCTCTAACGATTATCACACTGTGCTTTGTATTGTAGTTAACTGAACAAACCTCTATTTCCATAACTGAACTATACTATGAGGTGCTGCTTCTTTATTTTTTCTATTTTTTCATATTTTTGGTATTTTTAATTCTATGAGGGCAGGTGTTGCTTCTTTAAAAAGCCTGTCTCCCACAGCCCTGTTCTTCATGGCACTGACACATTGGTTCAATCAATTTTTGTTTGTATTTGACCTAGTTAAAATTCCATGTATCAGACTTATGCCTTTTATGATTCTCACATTCAAACTTTTTTCCTGAATGCTATACCTCTTGTACCCAAAAGCCTCTTAAAATTTATCTTGTAGAAACCTTAAACTGAACTCATATTCTCTCATAAACCTGTTCCTGTTTCCTGCCTCTGTAAATGGCACTATCCTACACCTATTTTCTCAAGCCAAAAACTTCGGAGTTATTTTTCATCCTTCTCTTTCTAAATCCAATCAACCACCAAATCCTATCCATTCTATCATCTATATTTCTCTTTTAACCATCCCCCATTCTCCATCTGTGCTGCCACCACCATATTCTAAGCTGCCACACTGTTACCTGAATTTTTCCAGCTGCTTCTCATCAGTATGTTAATCTCTGGTCTTGCTCTCCACCCCATTATCTACAGAGCTAACAAAGTAATCTTACTGAAGGCCACAGGCCATTTCTCCATTTCAGGATCCTTCAGTGGATTCCCTTTGCTATTCAAGTGCAAGCATCTTAACAGTGCTCATAGAATCCTCCAAATCTGTCCCCTCTCCTAGCCTCATTTCTCATAGTTCTTCCTCTCATGTTGTGGGCTCCTGTTGCGGAATTTTTTCAATTTCTCAAACATGCCATATTTCCTCACCTGAGCCTTCACACTTGTTTCCTCTACCTAGAATTCTCTTTTCCTTTCTTTTTGGCTAGTCACTGCTAAACTTTTATAACTTATTTAAAACATCACTTCCTGGGATGCCTGGATGGCTCAGTCAGTACAGCATGCGACTCCTGATCTCAGGGTTATGAGTTCAAGCCCCATGTTGGGCACAGAGTTTACTTAAAAAGATAAATAAATAAAAATTTTTAAAAATCTAAAAAAATACACACACACACACATGTTCATTCACAGGGAGGCCTGTGACTTCCCTGACTAGATGTAAGCTTGTGTTCTTGCTCCCTCAGAACCTGCTGCAGCACCCCTGTCATAACCATTACCCCACTTTGTCAACCTCTCCTCACCAGACTATATCCTGGGAGAGCAAAGATTGCTTTTCTTTTTCAACAGTTCCCCTATGCTAGCTCAATACCCAGGACACAGGAGTAAGTAAATAGTGTTCAAATATCAGACTTCTATTTACAAAAATGCCTAGCTAAAACTTTCTGAGGAAATGTGGCACATAACAGGTACGTAATATATTTTTGTGCAGTGAATGACTCGCCTCGCCCTAAAAGACTTCTAGAATTTTCTACTTTTCTAAATTAGGGGATATAAATTTGTTTAGGCAGCTAGGCTAAACTTATTGTCTGTCATTATGGCCAGTTCAACAAATGTTTACTGAGTCTCTACTCCACATCAGGCACAGAGTTAGGCTTGTTAACTATGAAAAGGGACAGGGCGCCTGGGTGGCTCAGTTAGTTAAGCGACTGCCTTTGGCTCAGGTCATGATTCTGGAGTCCCGGGATCGAGTCCCGCATCGGGCTCCCTGCTTGGCAGGGAGTCTGCTTCTCCCTCTGACCTTCCTCCCTCTCATGCTCTCTGTCTCTCATTCTCTCTTTCTCAAATAAATAAATAAAATCTTTAAAAAAAAAATATGAAAAGGGACAGTATCTGCTCGTAAGGAACTAAAGAAGGAAAAGAGATGCATGACATTGTCCTGTACTAGAGAAAAAAATTAATTGTAAGATATTACAGTACACTATCTGAACTTCTGTAAATCAAAGGCTTAAAACTAGGAATAGGGGCACTTGGGTGGCTCAGTCGGTTAAGCAGCCCCCTCTTGATTTCAGCTCAGGTCATGATCTCAGGGTCCTGGGACTGAGCCCTGCAATGCTCCAAGCTCAGGGGGGAATCTGCTTCAGAATTCCCTCTCCCTCTGCCCCACCCCGCCTCAAATAAATAAATAAACCTTAAAAAAAAAAAAAAACTAGGGATAAAAAAGAGAATCAATGGACTCGTTCAGCTGGCTGCCAGCAACAGAACCAAAACAATTAGGACCTCAGAGTCTAGAAAAAGACAAAAAGGGATATGACAAAGCATACAAATGCTTCAAATCCTAGAATAATTGAACCAATAGATATCTTCAAAGCTTGAACCATAAAAATGTAGCTTGAATGAAAAGAATCACAGCTAACATTTGTTGGACACTTATTGTCAAGCACTATTCTGTTACTATTACATATTTAATGAATTCAAAAGATGTAAACTTTAGCATGTAACAAACTTATGTAATTTATTATTTACTTTTAGCATGTAACAAACTTATGTAATTTATAATTTTAAAACAGTGGTTTTCAATTTTAAAAATAGCTTAAGTAAATTAATGGGTTAGAGGAGGAGAATTAGAAGGATGCTTCTAGTTTTAACCTTCTACCCTAAGGTTGAGTCCTCTGTACAACACTCTGAATAAGTGGTTGACTAACTACTTGATTAATAGTTTCCTCAATAGGAACTCATATTTTACTCCTTAGCCCTCCCACACCTTGAAACCCAAGAGGAATGTTCTCTAACCTTCTGAGTTTATCCAAGAAGGTAATTATAATCATCCACAATATGTCTCTCAGTGTCAGTAAGAGACACAAGGTCTGATCCAACATGGCAATTCTTACATTCTTTAGAGAAGCAAGTTTAGGTTGAGTATCTCTTATTACCCTAAATACCACATTCCTAACAAGTAACCCGAAACCAGCTCTACAGACTACACTGGCTAACTGCAAGGTCATCTCTTTGAGGTGAGTATAAACTAAAAAGTAGCTCTTGTTTATAGCAACAAAAACTCCTGAGGCAAGATGACTGAGTTGCTCCTTTGGGTATTTCAGGGAAAGGGCCTGAGAGTATTCATTGTGTAATTACACAACACTCTGTAAGTCTGCGGGAACACACATAAAGGAAAGATGTCAAATTTATGTGAAAAGAATTATTTTGTAGTTATTTTCAAAGACAAAAAAGATACCTTGAAAGTAGGCACATGAATACACACATAAGCTACAAAATAACTAAATAAATGACATCTGACCTACTCTGGATTAAATTCATTTTTTTGTATTCTGACAACTAATGTTTCTTTTTGTTATTGGTTTTTGTTTTTTTTTTTAAGTAATCTCTGTGCCCAACATGAGGCTCAAACTCACGACCCCCAAATCAAGAGTCACACGCTTCATTGACTAAGCCAGCCAGGCACTCCTGAAAACTAACGTTTAAAATGAGGCAGGATTATGAGTGTCACATGACAGCAGGAACATCAAGAGTTGGTAGTTGAAAAGGAGTAAAATAGCAGATACCCTGAAGTTTTCTAACCCCAAAATGTATTTATTTATTCCATACTGTATTGTAATTTTCATAGACTGTGTAGCTTATTCTTTTTTTACTTTTTAAACATCTTATTTGACAGAGAGAGCGCACGCACGAGTGGGGGTTGGGATGGAGGGAGAGGAAGGAGACTCCCTGCTAAGCAGGGAGTCAGACCTGGGGGTGGGGAGGGCGGGAGGGGGGTGCTCAATCCCAGAACCCTGAGACCATGACCTGAGCCAAAGACAAGATGCTTAATGGACTGAGTTACCCTGGGGGGGGACCCCAACTGTGTAGTCTATTCTTAAGAAATTTCCAAGTTAGGGACACCTGGGTGGCTCAGTCCGTTAAGCAGCTGCCTTTGGCTTGGGTCATGATCCCAGGGTCCTGGGATTGAGTCCCATATTGGGCTCCCTGCTCAGCGGGGAGCCTGCTTCTCCCTCTGCCTCTGCTCCCCCTGTTTGTGCTCTCTCTCTCTGACAAATAAATAAAATAAAGTCTTTAAAAAAATTTTTTTTTCCAAGTTAAAACTTTATTATTACTTGAGGCCAAAACTTTTTTTTTTTTTTTCCATTCCTTCTCATGCATCCAGGGCACTATCAAATGTAGTAAAGCCAACAAGAAGGCTACACAGGACCGCTGTGAGGGACACAGCCAAAACAAATGAAGTTTGGGATAAGTCACATATTGGAGACTACTATATAGGTGTTCGGGGAAGCAATGAGATAAGTGTTCTTTGAAGGATCATCGCACTTGAGTCTAGGAGACTTCTGCTTAGGACAAGACCAATTCAGGGCCCAAGCTAACCCAATGAAGTTGAATACAAATTAGCTTTTTAATATGTTTGTTGAAGTAAATATGAATAAATGGTTGGCTAATGACTAATAAAAAAGTCATCAAGTCAGTAGATCTTAAGTATCCATAGTTGATAAAAGGCCGATAAATTAGGGAAGACAGTTCAAACATTTAATGAAAAAGTCCTCCAAAAGCACTCTGGTAACCATTAGCAGAGGCAAGGGAAAAGAAAAAAATCCCTCCGTGAGTCTAGAATGACCCGATCCTCCCTCTCCCTCATCCTCCAGGTTAAGGAGGAATCACATTTCTTGGTTCTCTTAAACAGACACCAAACAAGGCCCCTTCTGTGTCTGGTAGCAAGTACTTTTGAGATTTCTCTCATTTTAAGAAAATTCGGACTCCTCCTGTTCCTTGGACAGTCAAGCCTTCCCCGGATCTGTAGGTCAAGGCTTGACATGCCTAAGTCTGGTGGATCACTCTCCAAGACCCTCAGATAAGATTCTGCTGTCATCGTTCCCGCCCCTCAGGAGACACCTGGCCAATTCCCCTGTCATTTCTGAAAATAGGGGTACTCAAGCTTCTTCCCCTCAACTATCTTCTCTCCGGTCCTCAAAAACGTAACGGGTCTTCCCATCCCCTAACACACCAGATCGTCCTGTTCTCTACCTATATATCAGAAGGTACTCAATCTCTCACACCCTCACAGGTTTGCACCCTTCCCATTCCTACTTGAGGAGGCTCTGAGGCGTCTTCCTACTGCCCCCTCACCTCCGGGAAGGCAGAGGCCTGCTCACTTTCCCTGGAGCTCTTCTTCCTCGTCCCCTGCTCCCACTACCCACCGTGTCGCCACGCCTTCGGAACAGCACCTGCCTCTTTTCCCCTGGACTGAATGGCCGAGGCCTCTAACGCGCCCCTTGGGCGAAGCTTAGGCCTCCTTCCCTCAGCAGAACCCACACTTTGCTCTTGCTCCCCCGCCAAGCTTCCGAGGGTCTCCTCCCGGGCGGAAGCCAGGATTCCTTCACCTTTCGTCCCACCCCCACCCTCTCGTCCCCCCCCCCCGCCCAAGCGCAACCCAGGCCCCTCCCCAGCTCCGCGTCGACGGGCCTGCTGCTCCCCGGGCCCCGCCTCTGGGGATACCCCGGGGTCCCCGGACCCCTCCCCGGGGTCCTGGGCGTCCGGGCCTCTCAGTCCGGAGTCGCTCCGGCCCCTCCGGGCCCCTCAGCCTAGGACTTCCGGGGCCCTCGGTCTGGGGGCGTAGGGCCCCCGGGCGCCCCGCTCGCCGGCGCCCGCCGCCCTCGGCCAGGGGCCGAGCCCGGGCGGCGCGGCCGGCCGCGCTGGGGGCGGCCCGGCTGCTCGGGCGGACCCAGCGGCAGCGTCCCCCCACCCCCCCGCGGCGCCGCGACGTCCGCTCGCTCCCCGGCGGCGGCGGCGGCACGCACAGGGCGTGGGGAGGCGCCCGCGGAGGCAGCAGCCCCCCGCCCCCTGCGCGCCCGCCCGCCCTCGCCGGCCGCCGCGCGGCCCCCGCGCCCGCCCCCCCGCCCCCACCCCACCCCGCGCCCGCGCCCGCGCGCCCACCCCTCCCCCTCCTCACCGTCTCCGTCGGGCGGGCGGGCGGCGAGCGGCCAGGGCGGGCGGGCGACGGAGCATGCGCAGAGGCCGCCACGGCCGCTATTGCCACCGCCGCCGCCAGGCCGGGCTTCAACACTTCCGGCCGCCGCCACCGGCGAGCTGGCGCCTTAAAGGGGACGCGTCCCTATTGCGGGCCCCGCGGAGGATGAACCTCAGCCGGAGGGATTTGAGTGAGCCTTTACCTGAGCAAGGGTTTTCTGCTCTGGAGAGTCAGTATTGGAAAGGGCTCTGGGGACCCTAATAATTCTTCTTCCCCCACTTCACGGTAAGGAAAAAGAGGTCTAAATTAAAGACTCACCTCACCTACAATCAGGGGCAGAAGTCGGTCTCTCGACTCCTCTGGAGGACTGCCCATTTCACCTCCCCAGATCCAGTTTTATGGAGCTTACGTGTTACAGACCTTCAGAAGTTATGCCCAACTATCAATTCGGAATAAAAAATCTGGTTGAGTAGAGTCAGTAACTGGTCACGAGTCCATGAGCAAGCTGCTCGCAGTCTCTGAACCACGCGTGTTTGCCAAGCCTTGCCTGGTTGTGAGGTTATGGGTTCAAGTCTTGACTTCTTCAGGGGCGTTATTAACAGCTCCAAGCCTGTATGTCGCCTAAGGCATAAGGTTGTTGTCTTAAAAGAGATGATACTTGAAAAGTGCTTAGGAAAATTTCTGGGGCCAGTAATTGTAATTAGCAAGTATTAAGACCTTTCTATATAGCTAAGCGTTGCGGAAGATGCTTTGTCTCCTATAGTATTCCCAGGCAACCCTAACTAAGTAACTTTTTCTCACTCCTGTTTTACAGATTAAAAATAAAAACAAAGCAAACCAAAACCAAAACAAACAAAACGGGGGGGGGGGGCAAGAGAAGTTAACTAATTCCTCAAGGTCACGTAACCTGTAAATGGTAGCAATGGGCAGGATTTCAATTCAGTCCCTCTTTCTCCAGGGTCCAAGGCTATAACCGCCGAGATGGTTGCTTTCCTTATTAGGAACAAATGAGGTGGTGATGTGGGGCAGTTTTTTAAGGGGGAAGGAGAATTGCTTCCCCATCTTGCCTCCTGTGAGTCATCTCTGCTGATGTCCCCTCCACCATGAAGAGGTGACAGGAAGTCTTACAAGTTCTTGATTCAAGGACAGGCGAGGAGACCCAGGAGTCAACAATAGAACTGAATTTGGGGACTCAGGGACATTGGCCAGTCTCATCTTCCTTAAGCCTTGATTTACTCATTTGTAAAATAGAAATGATTTTCCCACTGTACCCACTCTCAGGGCTGTTTCCAGGATCAAATGAGGAGATGTAATACCCACATTAGTATCTGTTCTTATGATCAAGGACTTACACATTATCAGGTGATTTTGAATATAACAGGGGTGACTGGAGTCTTGACCTATGTGAACTGTTCCATAGCAGGACCATCAATATCTTTTGATCATGCATTGAACCCTCACTGTACATTTACCAAAAGCCTGTCCTTTCTTTCCAGAAGCTCTTGGTCCACTTTCTTCAGACATAGAATTGTAAACATACAGGATAGTACAGTGTGATAGATACTATCATAGAGATATAAACTGAGCACTGAAAAAATTCAAAGGGCTCTCCCTGGAGAATTCCTGAAAAGCTTTATTTTTTTAAAAAAAGATTTTATTTATTATTTGAGAGAGAATGAGAGACAGCATGAGAGGGAGGATGGTCAGAGGGAGAAGCAGACTCCCCGCTGAGCAGGGAGCCTGATACGGGGACTCGATCCCGGGACTCAGTCCCAGGACT